CACATAATAAAGGTATACATTAAATCATAAAGAATAGTCTGAATTTCATAAGCCACATTTAATATTCCTATAATATGCTTAATCTCTGTCTAACATCACCCAAACGGTTGAATTTTTGTATTCACGTGATAAGAGCACAGCTGGCAGAAACCAATAATCAGCCACTCTTTGAAGGACCAATGAGGCCATTAATGATTTGTGAATAAAAAGGCCTGGTTAAGCTTGCTGTAATTAAATGAGACTGTGAACCAATTTCTGTGACATTCATTCCGCAGATAGCTCAGGTATCAAAATATTTCAGATTCCTGCCTAATTTGCAATTATAACAAAGAAATAGATATTTCTCAGAATTTGTAATAAGAAACTATCTGCTCACAACTCCACAGTGGCGGCACTAGTACGGGGCTTGACGTCAGAAACTTCCTTAGCACAGCCAACCCCCCCTCCCCCTAACTCCCAGTGTCACTTTCATTAACATTGAAAAATAAACATTAAAAACCTAAAAAAAAAAAAGGGTGCCTAATATGTGGCCTATAAACAACTGACATTACGGGGGAGGGGTCAATTAGGCACGCCAAGCCTTAGGTAAGTGCGCATTAGCGTTCATTTTAAGTTTAGTATCTACAGCTATCACGATGGAGCGCTATTTAATATCAAGTAAAAGACCGCAAATTTCAGACACTTTGCAGAATAGATGTGAACAATAATACAAGTCGACAGTTTCAAGCCCTCTTTACATTAGTGCGTTTTCATTTTAAAACAGCGTTTTAAAATGAAAATGATCCTCGTCTACACTTGCGTTTTCACTGCGTTTCAGAAACGTTCTCCGTCCACACTACACAACCGAAAACGCATTTCGCGTTTTCGAGGGTCAAAAACGCCAGAGTAGTGTAAACAACAGGCGTAACCGTGGCAAAAGTTATGCGTTTTAAAACTAAAACGCACTAGTGTAAACGTAGCCTCAGTCTGAAGTTCAGGATGGAGAGGAGTCTGTCGTCACACAGAATAGCAACTCTTTAAAAAGAGCTTATGTGGAAATAGTTTTATGAATTGTCGGCACTTTATCTACTGTAAAAAATTGTTAGAATTTACAATGTTTTCCTGCCAGTTGGCATTGAGAGAGACTGACACTTGATGGTCAAAAAAATTAGTAAATAGATGTGTAAAAAAATTAATTAAAATAAAATAAAAGAAATTAAAAAAAAAAGAAAAAAATACCTACTTTCTTTTCTATGTGCGTTCATAAATTGTATTAATTTGTAAGTGTCATATTTGGCACTTGGCATTAGAAGTTATATTACTAATAACAGTGGCATATGAGAAGTTTAATACCACAGAAAAAAAAAAGATGTAAAATATGCCTTTTTCGAAGTTACTGTTTATAAAAAATAAGACGGCTGAATTTGCATGCTTAGAAAGCTGAAGCTTAGGCATCCATTACTTTCTCTCAATTTAATTAGTTCTTTAGCAGCCCCTCTGAACTGTTAAGTAATATAATATTTCAGGACTCAACAAGAACAGCACAATGTCCTGCGCCAGTGTGAAATATTGGTTTGCAAATTCTGCTGCCTTCTGTAAAACTGAATGATTTAGCTGACTGACACATATTAGAATTTCTGCAAAAATATTTAAGATTTTCTAAACGTTTCTGAAAGAAGTCTCATGGTCACCAAGGCTGCACTTATTTGATCTAAAATAATAACAATAATATTGTGAAATATTATTACCGTTTAAAATAACGGTTTTCTGTTATCATATATTTTAAAATCTATTATTCCTCTGATGCAAAGCTGATTTTTCAGCATCATTACTCCAGTCTTCAGTGTCACATGATCTTTCAGAAATCATTCTAATATGCTGGTCAAAAAAAATTCCATATTATCAATGTTGAATACAGTTGTGCTGCTTAATATGTTTGTGGAAACAGTGATACACTACCAATCAAAAGTTTGGGGTAAGATTAAAAAAGGATGCATTCAATTGATCAATGGTTTACAGCTTTGCACCCTTCAGGGACTGAACCAGCAACCTTACCAGACCATGAGTTTTAACAACCACCACAGCAAACCACCCAGAAACAAATCACACAAAATTATCCCAAAGTAGGTGCTGTCTGCCATTTCATCTTCAGTCAAGAGAGAATGAGTTCATTTATTTTTAATATATTTTAAATGATACAAGTAATACCGTCTATTATTACTTTCTGGTTTCTTATTTTTTCTTTCTGGTGTTTGGTGTCTGTGATCACTATTTTGAAGGACTTATCAAAGAGTGAACCGAACTACACAGTTAAGAATAATTCAATTACAATACATATTCAACCTTTAGTTTATAAAACATCATACTGCATTCAACATTTTCAGATGAACCTCATGAACAGGACTTGTTTCACCCAATAACATTAAGATGCAAAAATGTTCCATTAAAAGACCTTTTATTATCTTTATGCAAAAAATATTTTCGTCGTTTGATTTTCAGGTGAAATATGACCTCGACGTTTCTTGACAATTTTCCTACAATTCATCATCACAAGACTGAAAAAGTACACAAAAGAACAAAACTTACCTCCAGAAAAAAAAAAAAGACAAAGTGTAAAAATTAAGTTTCACTTCGAGCATTCCAGAACATCCAAACCACCCGCATATTAAAATACTTCTGGATTTCAAATTGACCTAATAAACACTCCTGTTATGCAAGGAGTATCCAATCGGCTGCTTTGGCAATCCAACACATCTTGAACAAAGAAGCTGACACAGCCCTCTCCACACACTGACATCGGCACAGTTGAGTGGGTTCCAGTCTAGGCTAGTGTGACACAGTCACAGTGGAGCATCTCTGCCTCAAACAACATCCTCACTCTCTCTCCCTCGCTCTCTTTCACGGTGTCCTCTGGCAATGTATTCCAGCACAAAGCTAATCTGGAATTGTCAAAATGCCAGCATTCCGTCTCTCCGCTATTTCCCTAGTCTCTTATCACCATTGCTGTGTGCCCACCTCCTATTAAACATTTCATAAATCAATACAAAGAGACAGAAATAATGTACAGTCAATGAATCAAATGACAGAAATGTTATAATACTGCTCAACAATCCACCATAAATAAGGCACGATATCGTACACGATATGACACATAATGTGAATTACAAATGATCTCTTTAAACAACTTTTAAGTAAAATACTAAAGGGGATTCGCCAAATCTTACTATCTACCTAGATTTAAATCTAGATTTAATGTCCTAATTGTGTTTGATTTATGGTAGGTAAGATAGCATACAAGAGCCTGTTTTACAGCTAAATCTCCTTCAGTGTAGACATTTATAATAATAAGCTTAACTTGAATAATTCCTGATGTCCTTCTCTGCACAAAAACGCATGTGGCTAAGCATTGTGTTAAACCACACCCATTGTCTCCACTGTATTAATTTAGCAGCTTTTACATAAGCATCCACCACAAGTCTCACGCAGCAATCACTATAATGGAGCCTCAATGAAGAGTGCCGTATGTGAGACCACTTAATTAGCATGAGCGGCGGAATAAATTACTCCACCTGTATACATTATACATAAAATATAGACATTCTGTAACATAAAATCTTAAACGGGCACTTTTTATCCAAAGCAAACTAAGCTGGAATTAATCTGATCTGCCATTATGATTTTGTGACACTATTAATTTTGACTTATTAAGACGCAATGTGAGGTGATCAAGCCACATAAGTGCCTGCAATGTTAATTTGTTCTAGTGGCTCGCACTTAATTTTGTGCGGTCAAATGTAAGAAATGAAGGGGGACAACAGCATGGCTAATTACTGGCTGTCGAGAGAGAGAGAGAGAGAGAG